GTCTCTTATACACATCTAGACTTTGTAGTTGATGCCACTCTTAACTATAAGAATGGAATTATATTTGTTGAAATTTTCATGGTTCATTATTATAGAAGGATTGTACAGAACTAAAATAACATCATACTGTCAAATGACTAACCTTGAGATTTAAGCTTAAAATCACATCAACTTTTTTAAATGTACAGCAACAAAATATTACATGAAAGTCACTGATTATATAGTACACACAAACTTTTGGAATAATTAATATTCTCAAATAAATGACTTATCTGACAGCATCAGACCAGGATCACCCATCCAGTGTGTTTTGAATTAATACAAATGAAGTAACTACCCCAGGAGCAACCGAGCACAAAAGGTGGATTAATAACTGCTTAATGTTAGCCTAAACATGTCTCTTATACACACTAAACTATTCAGGTTCTTTGGAGTACTTCTGATGTCCAAAAACTGTTAGTGTTGGTTTAATAATGTTTTCATGCTTATTAGTAATGGAGAAAGTAGTGAGCAAGGGGAAGGGCAGGAGGGAGAGGAGGAGGAAGAGCAGGAGGGAGCTTTACCTCTAAGTATAATAATCATTCAACTTTAATGGTGATTTATATAGTGTAATATTTCCCTTTTCACTTAGTTTATTTGAACATTACTAACACCAAAAAGTCTACAATTCAGGTTCTTTACAGTACTTTAACGTAATGATGTCCAAAACAATTACCAGTGTCTAGTTTTGGTGTAATAATGTTCTGATGCTTATTAGTAATGGAGAAAGTAGTGGGCAAGGGGAAGAGGAGGAAGAAGATTTTTTTTTTATAATAATCATTCAAATTTAGTAGTTGATTTTAGGCTATAGTTCATTTTCCTACTCTTAAGAAGAAACCCTGTATATGACATGTGATACAGCATACGCTAATATCCTGAGTAAAATGCAAAGAAATCATATAAATTACTATCTATTTGTAATATTACATGTGGTACAGCATGCGCTGATATCCAGTATAATGCCTACTCTAAGAAAACCACTGCAGACCTAATGACATGCGGTAGAGCATGCGCTGATTGTGAAGAAACACACACCCAGTTAACATGTGGTACAGCATGCGCTGATATCCACTGTAATCCCCAGAAGGATGTACTTATAATAGTTATACATTCATAATATTTATTGATATTGTTTTATAGTTCATTTCCAATGTGGACGGGACGTTGCTTGCGCTAAAAATGCCATAGAATAAATACTGTCTCTTATACACATCTAGATGTGTATAAGAGACAGAAATTGCACTAAGGTAGGTTTTAACGGTAGAGACTGCAAGTCCAGATTTTATCAAATAGCACACGTAAAGGGATAAGGCTTGTTGGGTTGATGGCATACGTAGCGGTAGGTTATGTCGTCGTAGAAAGTGACGAAAATGTGTCCATTGCTTGAGGTAAGACTTAGCAGTGTCTTTTGCTAACGATCCCCAGGTAAGTGTCTGTTCAAAAGAGCGAAGTTATCTGGTAGCAGGTGTGCCGGAATTTGTAGAGGATGCGGCTGCATGTTGTTCTCTTTTAGTAGCTTTCCTGTTACCTGAAACCGAGACAGTACATCACACAAAATATTCTTTTTTCCTGGTATATGTCTGGACGTGAGGTTTATATTGTTAACAAGCGGAACATGCACTATGGGGCGAACGATATGCATAACACTGTCATTGCTTGAGGTTTTCTTATTTAGAATACAAACGTTATCTAGGTTATCACTGTGAAAAACAACATGAGTGTTTGCTAACTCTTTTGCAAATATTGAGAGTATGATAAATATAGGATACAACTCAAGAATCATGATGTCAAAGGATTTCCATAAAGATGGCCAGGTACCTTGTATCCATTGATTATTGAAGGTTGCCCCATAACCGACCGGCGTCGGGGTAGAAGTGTAAACAATCCGAGTCTAATCTATTGGGCATTTTTATTAGGGTTGTTCCGTTGTATTAGAACAAAAAATGAAGCCAGGTCTTAAGGTCGTCTTTTGTACCCTGTGTGAGTTTTACACGACTGAATGGGGATGTCTTTCCTGCAGTGAGGCGGTATAACCTACACAAAAAGGGCGCTTGTTGCGCAGATGGATTTATGCTTTGCGCTGAATGGCTATGCACGCTCCAGGGTTTTAGCATTGTGAACCAGCCGCCGCACTGCTGCCAGCCTTTGATCGCGAGTCCGCAATACACGAACGAACGTATAAGACGTGATTCTTTTCTGTGCTGCATATAACTGATGAAACACTTTCAGAAGCGCCATGAGCGTCATATTTGGCGGAAACCGGCGCTATAAACAGATAAATTACAAACGCAAAGGATGGGTATGATTTAAACAAATAAAATAACAACCACATTAGACGGACATGAACGAATTTATGAACGATATGACGGACAAGATTTAAAAAAAAAATAAATAACAAAAACATAAGACGGACATGAAAAAATTCATAAAGGAACGAACGTATACGACGGACATGATTCAAACAATAAAATAAAGCCAACATAAGACTGACATTTCTCAAACAAATAACAAACGTATCGGACGGGCATAGACAAATGATACTGTGTAGACGAATGAATAATTTTGTAATGAACAAAATATTTATGAACAAAAACAAACAAATATGAAACCAATGGACGGTTTTACAAATGAACATGTACCGGTAAGCATGTAAAAAGTGGAAGTTGTGATGATATATCGCTTCTGTCTTTATTTATGTACCGGTAAGCATGTAAAAAGTGGAAGTTGTGATGATATATCGCTTCTGTCTTTATTCATAAATGAGGGATACCAATTGAAAGTATCCCTTCTTTTTTTTTCTTTTTTTTTTATTTGGGGGGGAGGGTGGAGGGGTGGCGTTTTTTTGGTTTTTTTTTTTTTTTTTTTTCACTATCTTCAGTACAATTCTGTACAGTACACATCACAA